GCGACCTCCGCGACCGCGCCTCCGCCGACCACGCGCACCTGCCCACGTACAACGGTGAGTGCGCACACACACACACACACACACACACATCATGACATCACAGATATGTATATTTGTACTAACTATGTACTAACGGCACCGCTCCCTCTATCTGTGGGATTCCACTGACGAGACACTTGTGTGAAAATATATTGACATCTCTCTCTATCTTTTAAGAAAGAGACAGCGATATGTTTTATCACAAATGTAATGGTAGTGCTGTTGCAGGTAACGACTTGTATGGTATTTTACACGTTTATATGAACTAATACTTTCTAATTCCTCTGCAATTAACATTGGTGATATTTACTTCCCCGACCCGCGCGCTCCGCCTCTCTCACTATCATGGTCTCTTTCGAATGTAACCAATTTAGCCTAAGTTTTAATTAGCTTTAGTTCCGTTCCGTTAAGAGCTTATGGGTGTAACGCGACACACGAAGTATGTTGTCATTTAACTACACTCAGAATCCTTAAATGGAACTTAAAATAGTTGTTTACCTATGTGTATAGCAGATTAACACAGGCTTCGCGCACCCTCAAGCCTTCCTCAACTAACAGGTTTGTTTCGCGCGATCGTGTCTTTTTAATGTAAAAACAACTCAGGGAGATTCATTAACGCATCACGTAGTGATGTGCTTGCCTTAAAACGATACGACTAACCAATGAGAGACTTCTGTGCCGCCCTGCGCCCAGGTGAGCTGAATGTGCCTGTCCTTGTCCCGCTCGTGTGCACCTCGTCAGCTTTACCTGCCGCACTTAGAGTCAAATGGTCAATCTACACTAAGAGAGACCACTTAATAACTCTGAGAGCAGCAGTATTTCATAATAGCATAGCTTGTAGATTATCAAAGACGTTTGTTTTTTTTTTGGATAGCATGTTATTATTGTTTACAAACACTTCCTATTTATTCTTCCACTATTGCATGTTTGTGCACCCTAGTTTAGCGTATGCATGATATTTGTATTTATGTATACAGCACTTTATACTGACAGTTAACTAATTCTATGTATTTATTTTATTATATGGTGTTGTTTCGATTTTCCTTTTATATATCGACAACTTTATCTGTATCATGTTCCCAATTTCGTTTACTTTTTTATGTGATGTGTTTATTTTGTTATAAATTGTCGTATATTTAATTTATTTTGCAATTATGTATGTAGGTAATTTTGCGTCTATATTTTGCATTCGCACGTTTGCATTCTCACAGTTTCCACAATAAACTTACAAGAAATTGCATTTTAGAAAGCCTTTTTCATAAATTCTATTATTTCCTGTTAATTAGACTGTTTTTTCACTTTTAAGTTAAATTATTGTAAAGCAATTCATTAATGTGGAAATTTTGTGACAGGCAGAATATTTTAGATTAAAATGATGTCTTCCTTAACTTGTATGACTTTCTAATAAGATTTCATCCAACATTGTTTGTCGTCAAGGAAAACACCATTAATTTGTGCCATGTGCATGTCTGTCGCCACATCGCCGCTGCCACGCCCGCC